TGAAGTGACATTTTTGCCGAGCTGGGGGCCCTACGAAATTACAAAACACCTAGTTGTTTGGAATGTTTACACACAGCGCACTGGAAAAATTAGCTCCAAAAAACAAGGGGGGAAGTATGTTTGTGACATGGGAGTTTGGGCGATTTCAAGCCCTCAATCTTTCAGATCAAGGGCTTGAAATCACCCTTCTTTTTTTTCATTGTGGGGCCAGTAGGGCTTCCACGCAATTTTTTCCCGCGGTTAGCAGGGCACTCCCATCCCCCGCTGTGCCCCAGGCCCCCCCAGCAGCTTTTTCCGATTATTTTTTTAATTCCGCAGAGAGCACCCAGGGGCCCACCTGGGACTCATGCCCAGCCGGGCCTCATTCCAGGCGTGGTCTGGGGACCCGGGCGTGCGGGAAATCAGCCCAGGTTCTTCAGCCATAAGATTCAAAAACATCAATGCTCTCCTCAGCCCAAAAAACGAAAAAGAAAAGAGGGTTCTTCAGCCATACAATTCATAGCAGACGGAACAAAGCATCTGGTGTTGGCTGAGGCTCTTCCATCACTGATGGGAAAATAATAAAATAATAAATTGTCCCGTTAAAACCACTACCTCTCAGGTTGTGATGCAAAGTTCAAGTTGAAAAGGGTTATTGGCACTTATTCCTATTCTACTTGTGAGTGTATTTCATCTGATGAACCATGAGTCGCATCAGAAATCTTTGGGTCCTCGCAGCTACCAGACGACAGAGGCTAAAGGCTGTTGGAAAACAAAAACACCTCGCTGGTGCTTAGGTACTCGTTGGTGCGCGCAGCTCGACTCTGCCTCAGCAACAGAGGCTCGGAGGTTGTCGTCATTAAAAAAAAAAAAAAAAAAAAAAGCACAGCCCGTTGTTCATAGTTCACAACAACAAAAAATCTTGTTTTTTTTTTTCTCGTTTTTTTTTTCTTTTTTCTTTTTTTTTAAATCATGTTTTGTGATCCTGCTTTGTTGCTTTTCACACCACAGCCAACGACACCATCAATCCTCACACCGTGTCAGAAATAATCAATACAGTTGAGGCAGTCCTTGGTGGACCATACACAGAAGGAAGCCTTCGATGCATGGGGGGTGCATGAGGGGTGTCTCTCGTATTGGAGACTTCCCGGTAGAAAAATGCAACTTGCGCACATCTGCAATGGACAGGGGCCTGGATGTGGTGTTCTCCAAAACAACAATCGGTTATGGTAATTACTAATAATAGTACTAAACGGCTTTCCACCAGGTGCTGCTCCCCATCAATAGATCGGAGCATCCGGCATCCGGCATGTTGCAAGCGCAATGTACTCTTATCACCCTTCCTAGTAGGCTGCGGACCAGTTAAAACAAAAAAAAACAGTGTTGCACAGATAAGGGGGGGGTCCTTCGCCAGTACATAAGGAAGCCAAAAAACAAAAAGTGTTGCACAGATGAGGGGGTCCTTTGCCAGTACAGAAGGAAGCCTCCAATAGAGAAGGAAGCCTCCGAAAAAAACAAAAAAAACAGTGGAAGCCTAGGCTACCAGCCGGGCCGCCCTGGTCCCGGTGGCCAGCCCGTGCAAGGACCAGGGAAGGTCCCACCCAAAAAACAAAAAAAAAAAAAAAAAAAGTTACGCAGAAAAATAAACTGAACAACTCTTCCCTCAGGGTCACTTCGAAATTCTGCACCAAATTTAGAAAAAAAAAAAACTTTAAAAATAATTTTTTAATTTTTAATTTTTTAATTTTTTCTTTGTTTTTGGCCTGGCCAGGCAAGTGACCCCGGGCCACTCTGGTAGCCTAGGTGGAAGCCACCGAAAAACACAAAGTAACAGTGTTTCCCAGAAGAAAATTAAAAACTCGCACACATTTGCAATGGACACCGAGATTTGGTGTCTCAAAAACAATCTGTTATGCTAGTCCGGCCTCACTCCACTACTCACCAGATCCAGAGAAGACGATATATGGGTGTGCTCTTTTATCCCGATGTCAATTTGCACACTTGGTGAATAGTGGAGCGAGGCCCATAGTGTTGCTTAAAGTTGAATGAATGGGCCTCACTGCACTACTCTCCAAATGTGCAAAATGAGACCGAATTCAACACTAGAACATGGAAAGATACATTGCCATTTCTTGTCTTTTCTGCATCTGGAGAGTAGTGCAGCAAGGCCCAATATAAGGCTTATTATGAGCAGGACGGTGTTTTGTTTGTTGCTTAAAGTCGAATGAATATAAGGCTTATTACAAGCAGGACGGTGTTTTGTTTGCGGCGTTCGGTACGACAACTGATAGATTTTTGTTTTTGTATACAGAAAAATACCGGCATGTCCCCATACATTTTATTCGTGGGAAAAAAAAACAAAAAAAAACCGTGCTATTGTTATAAGACTTCCCGGTAGAAAATCAAAATCATGCACATTTACAACTGGACAATACCATTGTTGTGCAATTAAACTAATTATTAAAGACTACTCATGCCCTTGCTACTCATGTTCACATAATGGCAAAAGTTCTAATCATCAAGACCACAACCACAATCACAGGAAACACGACAAAGGCAACTACACCATTTTGACGTCGATTCGCAGTAGACACAGTTGAAGGCTTAGCAAGCTGGCTATACACCTTTTATACTAGTTCATACATCACTTACAAAGAGTGGAAAACAAGTCATTTTCATGCATGTCGAAGTTCATTGGTGCTATACAATCACAGCTCCGAAACGCTCCTAACGATCTTTTCCTTACCTTTTCGCCTCTTCTCTTCTCTTCTCTTCTCTCCTCTTCTCTTCTCCTCGCCGCCTCTGCACAAATTTTTCGAGGTTCATTGTTGCGCTGTACAATCACGGATCTGGCACTGTAACAATGTTTTTTTTTCTTCTCTTTCTCTCCTCCTCTCTTCTCCTCTTCTTCTCTCTTCTCTTCTCCTCTTCACATGTCCTTTCCCCTATTTCCTACTTGACCAATCTACATTTCTGTGGAATTCTAGCCGTCTGTTAAACAGATACATTACGTGCACTTTTTTCTCTCGCCCTCGTCAACCTAGATTTCGCAGATGTTCGTTTCGTTCAGATGCATCAGAGTGCTGTCCTTTCTCCCCTCTTCTTTTCCCTATCTACATGCCTGCTGCACTCAGATACGTTGGAATGCGTCTACGCTTTTATCTTGACCAACCTCGACGTTTGGTTTCCTGTGTGCTTTTACATGAGGTGTGTCCCTTCTGCTTCACATTTCTTCAAAAAGTTTTGTGGCACTGAAAAGCGCTAAAAGCCTGAAAAGACTACAGAAAGTGCCCTTTGCCCTCGGATCCCCGCATCCCACACGCTTGAGGTTTTCCTCTGCATCCACCACACTGAACCACCTACCTCTGGTACATCAACTCCTCGGATGAACCTCTCTGACTTGAGAGGGCACTACTCGATAGCACGATTTGCAATTTCGCATCCATCCCTTCACAACAATGCAAATATTATTTCTTCTTCAGGCACCATCCTGTCTCCCCGCATACATCCTCCTCTCCTTCAGACAGATGCACCTCTTCTTCACTATCCTACACTCTCCATCTCTTCAAACACCGATCCTTTTCTACCCCTCCGACCATCCCCATCTTTCCTCCTCACCTGCCTGGCAAGACCGTCGGTTCTGCTCGATTCCTGGGTCGACATACACACACATCCCCATCTTTCCACACACCATTCTCTCCTTTACCTCCTGGGTCGACATACACACACCTCCCCATCTTTCCACACACCATTCTCTCCTTTACCTCCTGGGTCGACATACACACACACCCCCATCTTTCCACACACCATTCTCTCCTTTACCTCCTTTCTCCATCTGTTCAGATAATCTCCTCTTCTTCACCTCCTCCCATCTCCATCCCTTCACACACCGATCTTTTTCTTCCCCTCTGACCTCCTACCGCCTCAGACATCCACATCTTTCCTCCTCATCTGCCTGGCAAGCTGTAGGCTGTGTGTTCGATTCTTGGATTGGCATCTGCCATTTCGTTTCGTGCTTGTTGTATTGCACACACATCCCCCATCTTTTCACACACAGTCCTCTCCTTCACCTCCTGTCTCCATCTCTTGAGAATGTTCTCCTCTTCTTCGCCTGCAAGCTTAGTTCCCATCTGTTGTAGCCCATGCACCTGCCAGTGCAGAAACAGTCGGCCGAGGCCTCCTCGCAGTCGGCATCACTCGCTCTGCCTGTTCCTCGCATGGTCGGCCAAGGCCTCCTCGCAGTCGGCATCACTCGCTCCGCCTGTTCCTAGCATGGTGGTGGGTATTGCAATCCTCTTCTGTTTCTCCCCCCGTGGATCGTAACTTACATTCTCTAAGGCGACGGAACCTTGCACTGATCGATGTGCCAGATGTCTTTTGCGTACTCGTGAATTGTGCGGTCCGAGCTGAACTTCCCGGAGCCCGCAGTGCTCAGAATGGTCATCCGAGTCCATTTCTCCTTGTCGCGCCATGTGTCGTCGACAAGGGCCTTCAAATGGTTGGTCGTGGCAGACATCATACACGGCACAAAACAGAAACAGCACCTGCAGTTAGGATACCACAACGCAGCTTGCACAGACATGCACATGCCACCCAAAGCACACATACCAAAACAAAACATAACAGTAGAAACCACTTTCTCTCCTCCTCCTGTACACTCTACGGATAACACTTTCGTGACCTGCAACTGGTTTAGTTAAAAAGTCCATTCGGCTCATATTGTTTACGGGAACGATTCTAGGGCTTGTCGATCGAAGACTCCAACTGTCCTCACCCAAATAGAACGCCCGGTCATTGTCGCTGCATCTGGACTGGAAGTCAAAATGCAGCTGTGATGACAGGGCCTTCTGTTCGGGTGACGACAGAGGGGCGTGATGTTCTCAGCCAGGATAGTTCGTACCCGGTAGTCTTTTCACGACGACTCTGAGTGGAATTGAAGAAAGGACTGTCCAATGACTGCAATATGAAATGCTCAAGCATTGCATGCAAACTTGATGTGCAAGCAACATTTCAAAATTTGTATGCCTTCCCAAATCGGGCAAATTCTCTCAGTCCCATCCGTTATATTCTTTTCCGCATGCGCACCAGCTCCACGTCTTCGTCACCCGAAATATGCGTTGTATTAGAGTTTTGGGGGGAAAAATCGATACATTCAAATAGAACGTACATGCATTGTATTCGAATAGAATGCATGTGCATTGTATTCGAATAGAAAGCAACCTATGTTTGTATTTGAATAGAACACGTGCATTGTATTCGAATAGAAAGCAACCTATGCCTCGTATTCGTTTACAAAACATGCATTATCTTCGCGGGAAGACGGTACGTAGCACGCAGCCTAATCCTGAGAGTAATTTGCCAGTCCCTGCCCCTCCATTTGTCAGCGGCCTGGGGGGCTGCGGGGATGGGCGTTTTGCTACCACCTCGAGAGGTGGTGGCGAATTCTCGTTTGGCCGGGGCAAATTCTCTTTCGCCTTTTGGGAATTTTGTACGTGCTTTGTGACCATGCGAGGCACCAATTTTGCAATTGCCAGAGTCCCGCTCCTGTCCTTTCTGATTTGCAACACAGGTGTGACCGGACGGGGTATGATTTCAGTAAACATGGGAAAGAAAATTCAGCAGATTTTGCTAGACTGCCACTGCTGTGTGAGTACGCCCTCAGATTCTTCAAATTGAAGATTAGGGTTTTTGGAGGGGAGTCCTTTTATTTTTGTGTCATCCTTGTGCAGGGGCCATGTCCTTATGCAGCGATCATGCTAATCTCTCTGTGTTGGCCCTTAATGCCTTGTTTTTTTTTTGTTGTGCTGTTGGTTTGGCTGAAAATGCCCGTCGTTTATGATTTTGAATTTGGTAAAGAGCATACTGCTCAGCACTGTGATCATGCGTTGGGGGAGGGGGGAGGGGCAGGGACTGGCAAATTACGCTCAGCCTTAGCCCACCTAGTACGTACCATCTTTCCCCGGAACATAATTTGTATGTTGTAAACGAATAGAAGGCATAGGTAGCTTTCTATTTGAATACAATGCACGCGTTGCTCACCGTTTGCAACTTTGGTGGTCGGAAAACCCTGGTGTGACTCTGACAGCATCGCAGATTTTGCAATTTAGCAAAAAAAACTGCTAGTGTGCGTACGCCCTTAGTGTACTTCAAAACTTTACTGTACCCAATGGTTCATCTTAGAGAGGAGTGGCAGCGGAGGGCCTCACAAAATGTGCCTCGAGATGGGAAGCGAGAAGGATCTCCAAATTTTTACCTGTGCATCGAGATAGCTGGCAAAGTCGTTTCCTAGCAGGTAGTAGTCGCCACCTGATGGCCCATCAAGCACTTCAATAATTGGCGTGAAATAGTCAGCCCACCCGAATTGCCCGCTCCGAATGACACTGTGGAACCAGGAAGAAGGCCAATTCCAAACGTTAGACGCTACTCTCATACTCTCGACAGATTGACAGAACGCAATTTCATTCTCCCTTTTTCCCTACTGAATGTCCTCATGCATGATCGTTTTACGTTTTCCATATTACTCACCTTTCATTTTTTTTCCTTTTAAAGTGATACGAAGATATCACCACAACAAATGAGCCACCTGGTAAACCAATAATGGGAAGAGGGGCAAAGGAGCAAAATAGTGCAGGCTGTAACCTATCCTGCAGGAGGGGACAGACAGCATGAGGCACACTGACCTTCACAAGTCATTCGTAATTCTACCCAACGCTTTCTTTTCGAGGTCCTTTTTTTTTTTGTCCCATTCCTCAGACTACGTGCTGGGACTGGCCCACATATCTCTCTCTCTCTCTCTCTCTCTCCCTCTCTCTTGCTCACACACACTCACACACATGGAAGCGTTAGCTGTTGTGGCAAATGCATGTGGAATGCAAATAGAAAAAACATAACATATTAGAGTAATGCATAATCCCATTTATAGTACTCAACACCTTCCAAAGCCCCCTAGATGAACCATGACCAAATTCAAAGATGAAGCCAGATACTGACTGCTTAGACCAAACAAAAGCTATGGCCCAAATCAATTTCCTCCCTCTAGTCTAAAACTAGACCCGGAAAAAAACAGTGCCGGAGGGTCTCCCTGCAGGGCCTGCACCTATCAAAAACAATTCTGAGAGTGGCCGAACATCGCTCCAATGAGAGCGCGTCACTGGACGAACACCGCTCTAATAAGGGTCTCGTTTGACACGTCTAAGTCGGAACATTTTTTTTTTTTCCCTTCATTCCGCTAAGTCCTGACTCCTAAGTAGAAATCCAAGAAGAATTAATGGATGCGAAAACATTTATGCCGAAATCTCAAGGAACATTCCAAGGCTCTTTGACAGATTCCTTCAAATGTGAGGACCAAATTCTTAGAGGCAAATTCAATGGAGGTGGAGCCTCAAGCCCTGAAGAAACGCAACTCCTTTTTTCCTTTCTTTTTCCCTACATGGAAACCTGCCTTGATCTAGACCATCCAGCATGATTGGGATGACTTGGGAATGATCACCACCACTTACTTGAGGACCTGGTTGAATCGAGGGTCTGTACGGAACAATCGCCGCTCAGCCCTCAATCGGGGGACCTCATTCGCACGGACGCCGAAGATAAACTGCAAACCAAACACCAGCAACCCCCCAAGTCCCCATCCACATCCCCAACAAGACTTAGTTTCTCCAGCTGTCAGGATTTTACCACATGCCACTCCAAGACGCTGTTTGTACTCGAAACCCAGGCCGATAAAGTCCTATCACCAGGATCAAAATTGGAAAGGCCACAGCTCAGCCAACACAGGCAAACAGTTCAGCCGACACAGCCTGTCAAACAGGATACGGCCAGGGACCAGGCCCCGCCAAGCGACAAGCAGCTGCGGGGAAAATCGTTGAAACAGCATTGCCACCAGATAACGACCCACAGCCAGCATTAGCCGATCAAAATCACAAACAGCGTGTGGCTGAGGGATAGCTGCCTCAGAGATATATGTCCATGTCTCTGTTTTTTTAGACCGTCCCTTCTTTTTTACCTTTCAGCACACTATCATCATTGCCCACAACCATAGACCAAAAGAACATCAAGCAAACCCTTCTCATAGCCTAGACCCCAGCATACAACAACCATAGATTATTAGTACCATTACTAGTTAAACTTATTAGGAACTAAAGTTGCTACCATGCACCAACCCAAGTGTGTGTTGTGTTGCGTGTGTGTGTGTGTGTGTGTGTGTGTTACAAATTATCACCACAACTTCCTCTATTCCGCCCAGATGAGTAGATCCGAAGTCACAGCAACTTTACCTATATTGCAGACAATGAAGCATGCTCGAGATGAGCCAATCCACCAATAAGACAGTTTTGCTTGTGAAGTCAATATCTATTCAGAACCTTACCTTTAAACAGGCAATGCTACACACTCGAGATGGGCCATGCCAACGGCAAAAAGAATACGAGACGCAGTACATTTGTGAGTATGCTACATCGTTTTCTTGATAATTTTTTCATCAGCCAGCATTGGGAGGCCTCCCATGTTCTTTGTTTTTGCAGTTTCCCTCTTACTGTGCCTATCACGTACAAGGCTGGCCACGTTGATGATGGTTGAGCGCCAGCTGCCCATATCCCCGTGTGCCTTTACAGCCCACTTGCACGTTATAAAAGGAGGCAGAGTAAAGGGGTAATTATATTTTGTCTGTTCTCTCAACGACGCTCATTGAGAGAGAGAGAAGGAGAGAGTGTTCAATAGGTTCTTTATACACACCGTTGGAGCAGAGAGAGATAAAGAGTGTGTGTGTGTGTGTGTGAGAGAGAGAGAGAGAGAGAGAGAGAGAGAGAGAGAGAGAGAAAAGAGTGTTCAATAGGTTCTTTATACAGACCGTTGGAGCAGAGAGAGAGAAAAAGAGTGTTCAATAGGTTCTTTATACACACCGTTGGAGCAGACGACTATAGAATGACACAAGAAATCAATCAGTGTTTGGGTTGCAGGATGAGTAGCTGTTGCCTATGGTAGGTGACCACTCCTACAGACCGGACAGCACCGATTTGGGTGCGGACTGTGGAAGCATCGCA